CAAATAATAAAGGAGAAAGTGGGCATCTCTGTCTGGTTCCGTTATACATTTTAAAGAACTGAGAGAGGGATCCTTGACCTTAACCGCTGCTGACAGAGCGCTATAAAGCCCTTTTATCCACTTCAGCATTTTAGGCCCTAATCCTAAAACCACTAGCATATCTATCATGAAACCCCAGTTAACCCTATCAAAAGCCTTTTCGGCATAAATTGACAGGAATAGTGTCAGCAGTTTCTCTCTTTTTACCCTTTGTAGGAGGAGCAATGATCTCAGACCATTGTCCCTAGCTTCTCTTCCAGGAATGAATCCCACCTGATCCAGGTGTATCCACTCTGGCATCAACTCCTTCAGTCTGGTTGCCAATACCTTAGCGTACAATTTAGTGTCAGTGTTTAGTAAGGATATGGGCCTGTAAATGGCACACTGTGAGCTATCTTTCCTTTCTTTAAGTATAATCGTTAAATGTGCCTGAAATGACCCCTCCCTTAGTGCATTCATATAACCACACATTTTAGGGACTAGGAGATCTCTACATTTTTTGTAATAGCCCATAGTATATCCACCCGGACCAGGGCTCTTTCCTTTAGCCGTGTTTTTTAGGGCCAAGGTGATTTCCTCCAGGGTAATAGTTCTCTCTAGAGCCTCTAATTTTTCTTCTGCTATTCTTGGCAACTCCACTTCATTTAAATGTTTCTGTCTATTTTTCCTCCTCCATTTTTTGGTTTCTGGGGCTCACATCGTACAGGCGACTATAATATTATTGGAACCTATTAGCGATATCGGTGGTGGAGTACACCATTTCTCCTTTGTTATCTTTAATTTTTTCTATAAAGTTTTTAGATTTCTTTTCCTTTAGTTTTCCTCATCATATATTTTCCAGGTCTGTTCCCCCACTGATATCTTTCTTTTGAAACCCTGTTAAATATCCTTCTCGACTCCTGTTCCATAAGATCTTTTAATTCTTCTCTTTTAATAATTATCTTCTGATATACGTCTGTACCTACCTTCTTTTTATGTGACTGTTCTAACTTGTAGAGCTCCTCTATCACCGTCTTTATGTTTTTCCCTCATTCTTTCTTTTTTTCTGCTCCCATCGAAATCAATATTCCTCTAATATATGCTTTATGTGCCTCCCAGATTGTGGCTACAGACACCTCCTCAGTCTCATTGAGCTCAAACAATTACTCGATTTCCTGCCTTAACCTTTTTTCTAATTCAGGGTCCTGTATAAGCATCTCATTTAATCTCCACATAGTTATTTTATCCTGTTCCCCGCCTACCCGTAGTCTCATTGTGACAGGAGCATGATCAGAAATATACATAAACTCTATGTTGGCGCTAACCAACGACTCCAAGGGGTTTATTTACTAAAGCTGGAGAGTCCAAAATCAGATTCCCTTCTGCATAGAAACCAATCAGCTTCCAGGTTTCATTGCCAAAGCTTCATTGAACAAGCTGAGGTTAGAAGCTGATTGGTTTCTATGCAGAAGGGAGTCTGATTTTGGACTGTCCAGCTTTAGTAAATAAACCCCCAATTGTCTATGTTCAATCATTATATAGTTCAGTCTTGAATACAATCCATGCACTGGAGAGAAGGTGTAATCTTTTTCTCTTGGATGTTTAACTCTCCAAGTGTTGATCAATTGACATTGATATAGTAATACAGTATCTTCAATAATTTTGATTTTCTTCCCCTCTCTCTCCTCGTAGAGGATGATGCATCCATCTGGGGGTCCATACACAAGTTTAAATCTCCAGCCACAACCAGACTACCCTTTCTAAATTCAGAAAGATTTCTTAACACTCCCTTCAGGAATGTTACTGGATTTTTATTTGGACAATAGATATTAATCAGTGTATATTCAGCTCCTTATAATTTTCCCCTTAAAAACTAAAAATCGGCCCTCTGGATCCTCCATTTTTCCTTCCAATATAAAGCTCACATTTTTTGACAACCTCATCGCAACCCCTTTGGCCCTTTTAACTGGAGAGTCTGCGTAATACCACGTTACATAGTGCTTCGTGTATAACTTCACATTTGTATCATGAGTTATATGTGTCTCTTGGAGAAACACTACATCTATGGAGTGTTAGTGAATTTCCCCAAGTATCTTATGTCTTTTTGTAGGGGAGTTTAACCCTTTTACATTATAAGTCATAAACTTCATGACACTCATGCCCCCCTACTTCTTCTTCCTAGATACCCACTGCAGATTTCCTGCCCCCGCCCTCCCGCTCTCTCTATGCCCCTCTGACCATCCTTCAAGGTCCATTTTCTGTAAGTCTAATTTCTCACAAAAGTCATTTAGATTTTCTTGGAACCTCAGCCTTGCCAATTTTCCATCTTTCCATCAGATTAAACATGCTGGAAAGCCCCAATTATATCGAACTATTTTCTCTCTCATATGGTCCAGCAATGGTTTCAAAGATCTTCTTCTAGCCAGTGTCTCAGGAGAAATGTCCGCAACCCTTTCCATATTCTCTATCTCCGAAGTGATGGAATCGGACTATCACATCCCTGGGGTTTCCCACCGTTACTCCTTTTGGCCGTCTGATCCTATGTACTCTCTCAATTTTCAATTTCTCTATCGCTGCTCTCCCCATAATTGGATTACAGACTTTATTTTCTCCTGTAGATCCTCTTCCTGTCCCATTGCTTCCGGTAAACCCCTAATCCTTAAATTGTTTCTTCTATTGTGATTATCTTGATCTTCTACTATAAATTAAAGCTTTCTCTGTACTCTACGCATCACCTCCACCTGTGTTTCTAGTTTATTAATTGCGTGTATCCCTCCATTCTCCCCTCTACTTCTTCAATTCGAGTTAATATCCAATCCAGGTCATTGCGTAATGTCCCAATCTCATTTTTCATGGACATCTCTAGTTTTGCGAACATTTTCGCCATTTCAATTTTTGTAAGTGATTGTAACATGGGTCCTTGCTGTTCCATGTTTCCTTGTTCTCTTACACTTTCCCTATTTACATATTCTTTAATCTGGTTCTCTACCAATGTCCCGAGTGAATGTCTGGATTGATCTCTGTCATACTTTTTAAGTCCTTCATGCTGATTTTCTCGGGTTTGGGTCTCTGGGCTTGTCTTTTGCATAGGCATGTACTTTCTTATTGTGCTAGTGTTTGCGTTTGATTGGGGAGTTTTTGATCCCACCCCTTTAATCGATCTACTCTTCATTTCATTGGAGAATTACAATTAATTTTCCTCTATTCCAGAAATACTGACCCCAGTATAGCCCTCCTTTTTCTTCTGCTAGAGTCCCAGAAACCCCTTCGTATCTTGTTTATAGAGAGGAGTGGACCCACTGACCCCCAAGACCCCTAGGGCCCTCCAATAATGTTCTTCTCCTTCTACACAGTAGTCCCAGCAAATTATTAGCTAATTGTTATTTAAAGTGATTGCAAACCTTGTTTTTTTTCATAAACATAAAAATGATGTTATACTTACCTGCACTGTGCAATGGTATTGCACAGAGTGGTCCCTTTCCTGCTCTTCTGGAATCCCCCACCAGCGTTGTGAGCATCTCCTCTTCACTGAGTGCCTTCTCCAGAAGCCCTGTGCTGAGAGGGCACCCATGTGGATGTGTTCTAGAGCAAGGCTGTGTCCGCTCATAGACACAAACAGCGTGGCTTAGCCACAGCCCCTGCTCTATCCTCACTGGATTTGACTGACAACAGCAGGAGCCTATGGCTTCAGCTGTTTTCAGTGTGTCCTGTAAGATCAGGAAAAGGGAGTTTAGAACCATTTTAATTAGCTACAGATAATTGCTAATTGTTTAACAGTAGCAATCTCTCTGCAATGGTCTGATGCTTCTGCTACTTAGTGAAACTGCAATCTGGTTTTAAGCCGAACTTAAAGTTCAGGCCAAATCCCGCTTTTACATTTACATGGTGCATTGCAGTAACATGCACATTAACACCTTTAGTATTACATTAATTTTGAATGGTACCCCAACGCACTAAGGCAATGCAGCTGTGATGCACATGTGTGTTGCAGCATGCCACAACATATGGTAAGGTGCTCCTGCGCATATTGTGGAATGCTGCATGAAATAATATTGCATATGCATTTTGTGCATTGGCAACCCAATCAAAATTAATGCAACACACGTTAATGTGTAACACAACATGCATTAATGTATATGTGTTAACACAATGCAAAAGAACTGCAAATTGTGAATCTCAAAAAGTAAGCAATGCACAATCCCACAGATGGCCCCATAATTTAAGCAACACCGAATAGAATCTGCTGATGACATCCATCTCTGGGTCAGCCTTTCTCAACCAGGATTCCACGGAACACTAGGGTTCCTCCAGAGGTTGCTTGGGGTTCCTTGAGAAGGGGCAATTTCGGCCTCTCAAATAAGTTCCCACAGACACCAATGATCTTTTTAGCTATATGTTAGAGACCAATTCTTCTAACAGACCCAAACTGTAAGGAGCATTCTTCCCATTGGCCATCCCACCAATCACCTGTAAGCTGAAGATACAGTAATTATTAGCAGGAGTTCCCTGAGACCAGAAAGCTATTTCAAGAGTTCATCTGTTTTAAAAAAAGCTAGAAAGGCTGCTCTGGGTGTATTTAAAAGGCCTATGTGATGTGAGACTGGGAAGCAATCTATTTTGTTTCTAAAACTGTATCTTCTCAATGTAGGATATCTTTCACAATCTGTTGGGTTATGATCATAGTTAGGTTGGGAGACCTTTCTATATAACTGTGGATTATTGTTTATTCTATGTCCAGGGGTGGACTGACAGCTCATGGGCCCCCAGGCAATAGGGGATCATGGGACCCCTGTGTCCTTGCCCACATTCAAAGCACTCGGGCACTGCCGGAGGGCCCCCTACTGACCCCGGGCCCCTCGGGCAGTGCCCAAGTGCTTGAATGGTCAGTCCGCCCCTGTCTATGTCCACTAATTAACTATTACAGACCACTGTGAAATTTAAATAATTCCATTATAAGCGGGTAACTAAATACAGTTTCTTACCTTCAAGTCAAAATGTGCAATGTTGCGAGTGTGCAGGTAATTAACTCCTTCCAGGATCTGTTTGATAAATCTGGTAGCCTCTTCTTCACTTAGTGACTCCTTCTGTGCCAGGAAATCAAATAGTTCTCCTCCAGAAACCCTAAACAGGGGCAATAGAAAACCACTTTATGTAAGGCACTCTTACTAAATGACCTAAAATCAAACACATGGTAGGTTAATTTGTTTCCATCCACACCAATGGCTGCTAAACTAAAGATGTTTAAGTCTTACTCACTAGGTTTCAAAAGCATCATATTATAGATGTAATTATAAAATCAAAATGAAAAAAGAAAAATCAAAAGAAAATCAAATTAAAAATGGCACCTCTCCTTTAACAGTAGTACATATCATGCCACTTTTCGGGTACAGCTGAGAATGTAACAGATTTCTTCTCACTTTGGTTTAAAAGTCTGAACACTCACCCAACATGAAATGCATAAACCTAAGATGCATATTAAACTTAAAACTATTATTAAAACTTGAAACACTTATGAAGAAAGTAAGTGTATTCACTTCTTCTGCTGTCTTCTTTTGACACTTACACTCTCTTGGTATGGTACTTGCTGCCTTGCCACACTAACCTCCATATGACTTCACATCCTGCGGTGCATGTTTGTACCCAACACCCATGTAGCCAACCAGAAAGTAAAGCAAATAAATAATTAAAAAAGACCTTCTCCCTCTTCAGCCATTTTCCAGAATTTTCCTCCTCCCCCTCATGTTACATAATCAGACATTAAAGTGATATTAAGGTTCTGTTTTTTTCAAATAACAAATGTTATACTTACCTGCTCTGTGCAATGGTTTTGCACAGAGCAGCCCTGATCCTCTTCTTCTCAGGTCCCCCCGCTGGTGCTCTTGGCTCCTCCCCCTTGACCAGGGCTCCCAATAGCATGCCATTTGCTATGGAGGCATTGGTGCATGCTTGCTCCCGAACCCCGCTCTAATCACCCATAGGAGACATAGTGCCACGGCTCTGTCCCACTACACTGTCTCCTCATTGGCTCACTGACTGTGATTGACAGCAATGGCCAATGGCTCCCGCTGCTGTGTCTCAACCGATGAGGGAAGAGAGACCCAGGACAGCCGTGCTCCCGTGCACATCTTCCCACACCTTCAGTCCTTACAGCCACTTTTTTTTGAAAATACCTTTTAGGTGGGTAGTGGCCCCACATTTTCAGCTTCCTCACCTAGGCAAGAATGACGGCAGCCAGCTGCCCGCAGCCTCCTGGGATATCACATCGTACTCATCCCAGGAGGCTTCTTGGCAATCTACAGCACATGCACCCCGGAAAGTCATCACGCATCATAGGAGAGGAAGATGATGGTGTGCGACCTTTTGAGCAGCAGTGAAATGGGGTTAATGCATAGCAATGCTGGATTTGTTGGACTTGTGAGTATGATAATGAGGGACAATCCAAAGAAAAGGGTAAGAGGGGTTTGGGGAAAAAGAGAGAGACACTGACTTACATACAAAGATTAGAGGGTGAATGGGAATGTGTTGATAAGATAAATACCATATTGTCTGTTACATTCAACCAATTAAAGCTAAAGCATTGTAATAATGGTTAACATGGGTTTCCTAAAAGAAGTGCATTTGTTACGTTGTACACTAATGTGAACTACTGCATGCCCAAGTGTCCTTTTCTTGGTGGCGTATTCCCATTAAGAGAACACCATTTAAGTGATTTCCTTTTTTTTCTATTTCTTAAGTGGTAACACTGAATACAGATCTACTGAGTTTATTTGCTGTTATGTACTGAGCCCATTTGCTATTATATAATTATCTGCATATTACATTGTATTATGAGAGTGCCAATACAATTTAAGATCTAGAATAAAATAAAAACAAACGGCTGCCTATGTCACAGATTAACTTCCAATAGATGTATTGTCCTTTCTCTTTATCCTGATGAAGAAATTTAATAAAATATTATGCTCTACAGTGAATGTAACAGCAGACAACATGACCAGGGGAAGTGAACAACATGCAATATCCTCCTGATGAACCACAGACCAGATATACCACAGTTCTCAAGATCAGTCACACACCATCTCCATCTGACTTCTCTGAAGCAAAGAAATTAATATCCATTCCTTTAGGCAAGCAAAGGAGGATTATATGTAACTGGGGTTACCTACCTGAACATCAATACTCCACTAAAGCAAAACTAAAGTCAAAATTAAAAAAACAAAACAAATGTATGAGCAAGCAGGTTATTTATCGTAGAAGAGACCTGATAAGTCTCTTCTGCAAGAAAATAAATGTAACCACCTGCTCAAAGTATTCTGTGGAAGGCACACTGAGTTGTGCATGCGCAGCTAGGTTGCTTTTATTTAGGTTCCATTTACACGGGACACTTCTGAATGAAAGAAACTGACTGTTGGAAAATGTAGGTTAAAAAACATCTGTTTAGCCGCGTTTGCATACAATGTGTATGTGCGTTTAAGAGCATTTGCGTTTAGAAGCGTTTTTTAAAGATAAACGCTCTCCTCAGGAGACCTTCCAAAATGCCCAGAATACAATCTGACTATACAATCTTTGTACGATCAAATTTACCACAGCTGTGTAATATAAGCACTGAACTAAACCAAAAGGAGATTGAAAAGAGATTGTACAGTCAGATTGTATAATGCATGGCAAGCTTTAGGCTAAGTTGGCAAAGCCATTAAAGCGGAACCAAAGGCACTATACTTACCTCCTCTCTAACAGTTCAGGCCCTTCACTGACTCACGCATCTCCTCCTCAGGTGTCGGTCTTTGGACACCTCCATTGGCCAGAGTGGGATGACGTAACTCTTGCCCATGTGCAGGAGTCAGTCATCCCGGCACAAAGCTAATGTTTGCATGCTGCAGAAGACTGCGAGCAGGCAAGTAGGTGTATTTTATTGCAGAAGAGACGTTGCATGTCTCTTCTGCAATATAGACCGCCTGCCCGCAGTCTGTTGTAATATGGCCTCAGTTCCACTTTAAGCCACGAACCCCCCAACTGCCAAATCTGAAACTGTGTATTGAGCTGAACGACACAGTACACTCAGGAGGCAAATGCATAAACTATGCCACCTGCATAGAAAAAGCAGATATTGATTTCTGTCACAAGGCTACATAAACAACAATGGCACCAAGCGACACTTCTTATTTGTTCTGACAATGCAAAAGGGAACTATGGCTCTTAGTTCTGCTTCTGATGACACAAAAAGCATTTAGTAAAGTATAACAGAAATATAAAAATATATAAGAAATATAAAAGAAAGGAAAGAATAAAGTGCATGACTCTTTCACAAAGCATTTGTGGGGTTGAGTCGATTATTTTAGACTTTGTGAAAACGTTTGTAAACCCTTCGCAAACTACTCGCTTTCTGTAAGGATGGCTCCCAACTGATATCTAATCTGCATCTAATTCATTCAAGATAGCATTACTATACACATAACTAATATTTTTTATTGCCATATCCTTGAAGTAAACCTATGCTTTGCCTACGCGGGGAAAAGAAAGAGCTTACTTTTTTTTGCATTCTTGATCAAGGTTTGATGCTGGTTTCCTGTAGTAGCGCATATTCATCTTCTTTTCACTCCCTTGCTGCTCTGTTCACCAGAGCAGAAAGAGGGCAAAATGAAGAAATACCTTGTATGTCATTTGTACTTCCAGGGGCTTCAAGAGAAATACCCGGTACTTGTGGGTATAAGGAGCAAGTGAGCTCTTCCTCTCACATGGCAAAGCTGGTGCTTGGCAGATGGTTGATCAGATAGCAGAGAGAGTTCACCTGTGTAAACTCCAATTAAGATCCCCTTACTCCGTTTCCTCTCTTTGCTCCTGCCAGCGCTCAGCAAATGGGGGTTACAATTAGATATACAAAAATAGATGCTTTGAAAAGGCTCAAACTAGCCGTCGCCTTATATCTATAAAAACATAAAAAATATTTAAAACTAGAAATATGTAGAGAACTAAATGCAAAACAACAATTTGCTGCTATTCTGGCTCTGTTTCTACCAATGTTTGTACCTTCTTTTACTAAAAAAATAAGAACAAGCCTTTTAGTTTAACAACACAAACACGGGGGTAAGATTTTCTCAGCCATCAACAATACCAGACAGATTTAACCACTAGCCTACAGGGAACTTATACCCCCTTCCTGCCCAGGCCAATTTCCTGCTTTCAGCGCTGTCACACTTTGAATGACAATTACGCTGTCATGCAACACTGTACCCATATGACATTTTTATCATTTTTTTTTAGAAAGATAGAGCTTTATTTTGGTGCTATTTAATCACCTCTGGGATTTTTATTTTTTCTTAAACAAACCAAAAACCACTGAAAATTTTGAAAAAAACAAACGTTTTTTTCTTAGTTTTTGTTATACAATTTTGTAAATATGTGATTTTTCTCCTTCACTGATGTGCGCTAATGAGGCTGCAGTGATGGGCACTGATAGGCTGCACTGATGGACACTGATAGGTGTCACTGATGGGCACTGATGAGGAGGTACTGGTAGGTTACACTGATGGGCGTTGACAGGCATCACTGATGGGCACTGAAAGGCAGCACTAATACATGACACTGATATATGTCACTGATATATGTCACTGATAGGCGGCACTGACTGGCACTGATAGGCGGCACTGACTGGCACTGTTAGGTGGCACTGACTGGCACTGATGCGCACTGATAGGCTGAACACTGACTGGCACTGATAGGTGGCACTGATAGGTGGCACTGATTGGCATTGATAGGTGGCACTGACTGGCACTGATGGGTGACATTGAAAGGCAGCTCAGATAGGCACTGATATGTGGCATTGATGTGCACTGGTAGGCAGGCACTGATATGTGGCATTGATGTGCACTGGTAGGCACTGATATGTGGCATTGAAGTGGCACTGATGGGCACTGGTACATGGCACTGATGAGCACTGACAGGTGGCACTTCTGGGGCTACACTGATCATCAGGGCACACTGATCATCAGTGCCCTGATGATCAGTGTACATGTCCCCTCCGCGGGGAAAGCCAATTACTGGCTCTCCTCTCCTCTCGAGCTGTCAGTGTGACAGCTCGAGAGGAGAGAAATGCCGATAACCGGCATTTCCGTGTTTACATGTGATCAGCTGTGATTGGACACAGCTGATCACATGACCAAGCCGACATCTTCGGCTCTTTCCGTGATCCGCTGTGTCCGAGGGACACAGAGCACTGGCGATCGCCGCGCTGCGCGCTCCCTGAGACGCCGCGAGCATGCGCAGTGAGAATGGTAGGACGTCATATGACGTCCTATCAGAACGAGAGAACCACCTTGCGACCGTCATTGTACTATAGGGCGGGCGGAAGGTGGTTAAGCTAGCTGGACAATTTCAGGCTAATAGATGGGCCAATCTGACCTCCTCTGAGGCGTGGCGCTAAGTCCAGCACTTAATCCTCTGGCTCTTCACAGTATGGGGGATGACAACAGGTTTTCTGACCCATAGTGGTATTGTAACCTAACCCAATCCTTTTGGAAATCTGTTTTTCTATTTTTTTTTTAGTTTTTACACAAATGTTATCCAAGAATAAGACATTTTTAAGAGGATTTGGTTGAAAAAAATGTGTGAATTATAGATGCAAGTTACAGTATGTGAATCCTTTCTTGAAATCATATATAAATATACCCTGAAATGTAATATGCAGGCATGTGTAATGAGCCAGCTGTCTCAGTAAATGCTTTCAAATGCGGAGAGGTGTTGAAAAGTATCACACTTTAAAGGCCATATGTATGTTGCACTTAGACAGGAAACAAGTATTATCTAATTTATTATGTGTGTGTTATCTATATGTTGTTTATTCCATTGAAATCCTGATATAGACTTCAAATACGATGTCTCAAATATATACAAGAAATTAAACAGAAAAACAAGCCAGATTTCCTCCTAAATTCTACACAGCTAGGACCAGCATCTATAGAAGACATATGACAGAGATTATTGCCAATGAAGATAGATAGTAGTAAATATAGGGATTCATACAAATCCACATACCGGTACATGTTCTATTAATAATTTTTGTTGTTACCTATATAAAAATATGGCAATGTAAAAAGTATGGGGTGCTGGCAGCCAAAATTACTATAGCTGGATTGTACAAGAAAACTTCAGTCTCTTTGGCTCAAGCCAAACATAAGATATCATGTATTATGACCCATGAAAAGATAATGAGTGTAATGAATGATGCTATAAAACAGTTTGAGAAGATGTGGGACCCAAGGGCCCATTATATCAATGCCCAGCTGTCGTCTTTGCTCCATATACTGTAGGTCTTTCTAACTCTAAAAGTCCCCAGGTCTGAAACTCTTTTTTTTTCTTACTTCTCTCTTACTTTTCTTGTACTCAGGTTCTGTCTCTTTACTGCCATAGGGTAACACACTCAGTATCATTACTATGCCTTTGGTAATTCAGATGACATGTAATTTTTCCTTATATCTGCTAACTGTTGGATAATCGCTCTAGTCTTTTGGCATTGCAGAATATTTTTTCAGCTGCATATTTGATCTGTCTGATGACCTCTGCTGCTCTGCATAACTTCTTTCTGTACATTGCACGTCATATTTTATCTAATATAAATACTGAATGTAAAAAAAATGTGGGTTGATTTACTTTCTTTTTTATATTATTTTTACCTAGACTGAGATGAAATCACAAATTAGGAGCTAACTATATAAAAGAAAAAAATCCTAAGGGTTCACAATTTTTTTTTTTCCAACTAACACTCACAAAAATGTGGTTATCTAAATGTGTGCTCTTCTGAACAGCTTTCTGCTGACATTTTTGGATCGCGTTTAGGCACGTTTAGGAGAGTTCAGGCTCATCAAGCATTTAGGCGTTCATTGCATTAAACACACCTGACAATTAGGCGTGTTTAGACACATTTAAGCACATTGGGCGCTCCTCTGCTGAACACGATTTTGGTCAATTCAGATTTCTGCCCCTAAAAGCCCCTGCCTCTAAACACCTATTTGTGCATGGACACATAGGTTACCACTGAGGGGCATTTAAAGTGTTACTAAACCCAGGACCCTGCATTCACTATATCTGGTCTTCCACAGTACACAGAACAGGAAAAATGCAATTATTTTTGTAAATATAAACTGCAAAATACCTTTTCTCATCAGCAGTATATAGCAGTCTTGCAACTTCTACCAGTGTCCAGCTGAGCACTGGGCAAAGCTTGTAGGAGATGTTTTCATTCTCCTCTGACTGGACTGTCCTATGAGCCTGCATAACCCCCTTACCCTCTGTCTGGACAGTGCTTATTGGCCCTGTGCTGATCACAGGCACCCTCCCAAATTAAAAAAAAAACTCTCTAGCAATACACACTAAACTGAGCATGTGCAGAATGACTCCAAGAGCTCTGTACTATCAGCAGATGGATTGTGGACTGTGGAAGAAGGGGAGGGTCAGAGAAGACAAACAGCCTTTTTACACAATGCAGAGCATTAACCCCTTCCACAGTGAATATAACAAGCATGCTTTACTGCATATACAGATTGATTTTGCTGTTGTGGGTTTGTAACAAACAAAAAAAGTCAAACACTTGTAAAATGGCGTTTGACAGCTACAGTGTGCGTTAGGCCCCATGTACACGGGACACTTCTGAACAATGGAAACTGACTGCTGGAAAACGTAGGTTAAAAATCGTCTGTTTAGCTGCGTTTGCATAACGCATTTATGCGCATTTATGTGCGTTTGCGTTTAGAAACGTTTTTTTTTAAAGATAAGCACAGGAGAACCTTACAAATGCTCAGAATGCACTGAAAAGTGGTAAATTATTAACTATTTCAGACTGTTTCAGAGGGATACAGAGAGTAGAAGCAGAGACAGCAGTATGTGTTGTGATAATTAGGATGAGTGGCTCATTAACATTTCTTTTGTTTCCAAGGGTGGGACAGGTGTCTGGTGGAGTGAGTCATTAAGGCCACCTGGCAGGGGGTCTTCATGAGGAATTTGAGGTGTGAATGGTCAATAATATATCTTTTGTTTTCAAGGGTGGGAGAGGTCTGAGGTGTGAATGGGTCATTACAATGTGTGACAAGCTTGGTAGAAACATCCTGTGTTCAGTGTTTTGTCCATCTGAGTACCTTGAAAACGTTTTGCGTGCATTTTTGATGATGAAAAAAGGCTCTGGACAGCATCGGGAACTTGAAGAGATAAAAAAAAAAATTTCAAACACAAATGCTTATAAATGCGATTTGCCGCGTTTAACCGCATTTACAAGCGTTTTGCATTTGAAACGCTGATATAATCAACTGCTGAACGCAAGTTTTCTGCATTCAAAAAAAGGACTGTAAACTCAAATGCCTGTAAACAACTGTAAACAAAGATGTGTAAATGGACACATAGGAAAACATTAGGGAGAGTTCAGGGGCTGCTGAAAAAAATGCTGAACACATCCTAAACGTGAGTTTATCAGCTGCAGTGTCCTTAGGCCTTAGAAGAAGATCTAGAAAACATATTCATACAATGTTCTATTTTCCAACCAAATATTATTTAGTAGTTTTTTTGCACACAAAGTGGCAAATTCTGCTACGGCACTGATATTTTTTTGGCCGTTATCTTTGCAGCCTGGTAAAGACCAGTTTAAGTGCTTCTATATGACCTTAACAAGGGAACATCGTGAAAATAACCGCATCAACATCCTGACATTCTGTTTCTTTCATGAAATGCACCCTCCCCCAGTGATCCTTGAGCCTCTGTACAAAAGATATTATGTGAAAGACATCACATAGGAAGATGAGGAGGAAGCTAAAGGAAGGAAGAATTATTTCATTTCCTTCTGCACTATGACTTGTCCAGTAGTGCTTCCTGTCTCTGCGTTTAATGTTTCCTTCATTCAGCATAATTATTCCCTTTTTTGCCATCTTTTATTTGCCTTAATATGGTTTTCCTAAGTGGCACTACCATTTAGTTACTTAGTCTTGGCCAAGGTCATCAGATTTTACATACAATTAAATACTACCCGTTACATAAAACAATGTCATTAGGTCACATGGTACTGTCAGTATACTGGACATCCTCTCTTCGCTAACCCATGAAACTTACAGTTCCAGGATGAGAACCACATCAGTCTTGTTCTCATATACATCCTGCAATGTGATGATGTTAGGATGCTGGATACCACGTAGTATGTTCACTTCCCGTTCAATCTCCTCCCGGGTTACTCCTCTACGGCTGACGCGACTCTGTCTCTTCTTGATGAATTTTGCAGCGTATTCTATGCCACTCTTCTTCTCTCTGCACAGCTTTACTATGGCAAATTGCCCACTGTGGAAACAGAACACAAGGCGTATGTCTACAGCAATGCAGAGGAGAGGTTAGATGACAACATATTGTAGTCTACTCAGTTATAGCCTTCAGTTCTAGGCTACAAATATGAGCATGTATCAAATGTACCAAGATTATCAACAACTATGCTATCTTTTCACTCCTCGTCAGTATTCATATCTTACAGAGATGAGGGACAATGGGCTCAAACAATTGCATGATGTTAGATAAACTGCTATATATTTTAGTCTTGGTTCACACTACTGCGACCTGAAAGTTGCACGACTTACAGTGTGACTTTGCCAGGCAACTTGAGTACTACTTTAACACCTTCCCGCCCGGCCTATAGCAGATTGACAACCGGGCGGGACACTCACCATTGTGACTGGGCGTCATACGACGTCCTGTCAAAACGAGCCGCTCTTGCGGCCACGCAGCGGTACAATCTGTCGCTGGCTGTGTCCACGGGACACAGCCGATGACATATCACTACACCGGCCTGTTGCCAGCGTCATGTGACTGCTGTGACCAATCACAGCAGATCACATGTCAATTGTATACAATGGATGGCTTCCTGTCATGCCATCCATTGTATACATTTATTTTGTTAGCTGTGACTGGTCAAGGCAGTCACAAGATACAGACAGGACCAATCACAGCCCACCTGTATCATGTGATCAGCTTTTTATGATGTTTTTATGTTGTTAGCTGTGACTGGTCAAGGCAGTCACATAATACAGACAGGGCCAATCACAGCCCATCTGTATCATGTGATCAGCTTTGCCCAATCACAGCTAATCACAACAAAAGACTGAATGAATCAGTAACAATGATTGCAAATATCAGTGAAATACATTGGTATTAGCAATCATAATGTGTTAAAAGGAAACAAAATCCTGATCACTTGCCCAGAGTAGTTCAATGTTACTATGGTAACATTGTATTGCTTTGGTCAGTGTGCTGAAAAATAAAATAGTAAAAAAAAGAAAAAATGTAATTAAAAAAATATAGAAACATTTAAAAAAAAAATACAAATTCAATTACTATTATTATTTTCACCAAAGAAATGTAGCAGAATATATTTTGACCTAAATTTATGAAGAAATGTTATCTATTTGCAAAATTGTATAACAGAAATGAAGAAAAGTGCATTTTTTTTTTCAAAAGTTTCAGGTGTTTTTTGTTTTATTTAGCAAAAGAGGAAAAACTCAGTGGTGATTGGTGATTAAATACCACCAAAATAAAGCTCAATTTGTGTGAAAAAATGATAAAAATTTTATATGGGTACAGTGTTCAATAACTGCACAATTGTCATTCAAAGTGTAACAGCGCTGGTAGCTGAAAATTGGTCTGGGCAGGAACGGGGTATAAATGCTGGTATTGAAGTGGTTAAAGCAACTTTGAAGCAGCTTTCAGGGAATGCCTGGGTAATCTCCCTGTAATGTCGGATCCAAATCACATCAATATAGATGAGGATCCAACTTGGAGGTGACTTCCATTAACCGCTTGCCGCCCTGCCACTGTGTATATACGTGTGCAGGGCGGCAGTGGAGCGCAAAAGCATGTTTTAAAACGTGCTCCGCGCTCCCGACACATTCGCGGGTAGGGGGCGCGTGCGCGCGCTCCCGCCGACCCGCGGGTGATACGATTCGATCCAGGAGGGATCAATCATTAGATTTCAGCCAGTGATTTCTGGCTGAAATCACATGATCGGTCCCTGTCCTATCCTGTCCTGTGTTGATATTTACACAGGGCAGGATATGATGTCATTCTTCTCTGCCTGGACACATTCCATTCCAGACAGAGAAGAAGACATCCAAAAAGTGAGTACACAAGCACTACACTACAGTTAGAACACTCTAGGACACATTTAACCCCCTGATCGCCCCCCCCCCCTAGTTAACCCCTTCACTGCCCTGTCACCAGTGTCACTGATCAGTGAAGCGATTTTTACTGATCAGTGTCGCTGGCGACTTCCGATAGAGTTAGCGCCCCTCCCAGATAGCGCCAGTTTGCCTGCTAATACACCAGTAGTCCCGTCTAACCCCTTGATCGCCCCCCCCCCAGTTAACCCCTTCACTGCCCTGTCACCAGTGTCACAGATCAGTGAACCAATTTTTACTGATCACTGTATCAGTGTCGCTGGCGACTTCCGATAGTGTTAGCGCCCCTCCCAGATAGCGCTAGTTTGCCCGCCAGTACACCAGTAATCCCGTTTAACCCCTTGATCGCCCCCCCCCCCCAGTTAACCGCTTCACTGCCCTGTCACCAGTGTCACTGATCAGTGAACCAATTTTTACTGATCACTGTATCAGTGTCGCTGGCGACTTCCGATAGTGTTAGCGCCCCTTCCAGATAGCGCCAGATTGCCCGCTAGTACACCAGTAATCCCATTTAACCCCTTAATCTCCCCCCCCCCCAGTTAACCCCTTCACTGCCCTGTCACCAGTGTCACTGATCGTGAACCGATTTTTACTGATCACTGTATCAGTGTTGCTGGCGACTTCCGATAGTGTTAGCGCCCCTCCCAGATAGCGCCAGATTGCCCGCTAGTACACCAGTAATCCCATTTAACCCCTTAATCCCCCCCCCCAGTTAACCCCTTCACTGCCCTGTCACCAGTGTCACTGATCAGTGAACAGATTTTTACTGATCACTGTATCAGTGTCGCTGGCGACTTCCGATAGTGTTAGCGCCCCTCCCAGATAGCGCCAGTTTGCCCGCTAGTGCACCAGAAATCCCATTTAACCCCTTGATCGCCCCCCCAGTTAACCCCTTCACTGCCCTGTCACCAGTGTCATTGATTACAGTGAACAGATTTTTACTGATCACTGTATTAGTGTCACTGGTGACTTCCGATAGTGTTAGCGCCCCTCCTAGATAGCGCCAGTTTGCCCGCTAATGCATGGGATTTTTTTTACCAAAAACATGTAGCAGAATACATTTTGGCTTAAATTTATTACTAACTTTGAGTTTATGATATATTTTATATAGCTGAAAGTAGAAAATATTGGTTTTTTTAAAAATTTTCGTATTTTTTTTGATTATAGCGCAAAAAATAAAAAGCGCACAGGTGATCAAATACCACCAAAAGGAAGCTCTATTTGTGTGAAAAAAAGGACGTAAATGTCATTTGGGTGCAGCATTGCATGACCGCGCAATTATCATTTGAATTACCGTAGTGCAGCGCTGTATAGCAAAAAAATGCATAAATTTCAGTATCTATACCATAGTTTGTAGACGCTATAACTTTCACACAAAGCAATCAATATACACTTATTTGGATTTTTTTTACCAAAAACATGTAGCAGAATACATTTTGGCTTAAATTTATGACTAGCTTTGAGTTTACGATATATTTTTTATAGCTGAAAGTAGAAAACATTGTTTTTTTTTCAAAATTTTTGTGGTTTTTTTGTTTATAGCGCAAAAAATAAAAAGCGCACAGGTGATCAAATACCACCAAAAGAAAGCTCTATTTGTGTGAAAAAAAGGATGTAAATTTCGTTTGGGTACAGCATTGCATGACCGCGCAATTATCATTTGAGTTAGTGCAGCGCTGTATAGCAAAAAAAGGCATAAATTACAGTATCTATACCATAGTTTGTAGACGCTATAACTTTCACACAAATCAATCAATTTACACTTGGGTACAGCATTGCATGACCGCGCAATTATCATTTGAATTAGTGCAGCGCCAAACAGCAAAAAAAGGCCTGGTCATTAAGGGGGGTAAATCCTCTGGGGCTCAAGTGGTTAAAGTCTATGGGCACAAGTTGGATAGAAGTCACCTTGAAGTAGTACAGGAACCTTTTCTAAAGTCAGAGCGACTGCATTACTGCTAATTAGGCCAGCTCTCACTGACTAACATGGGATTTCACCAACCTGGCTGTGCTGTCTGGCAGGACTATGTAAATCTCAGGACTGACTGCACAAAATAAAAACATCTTTTGGCAGGAAAACATCTCCCTTATATGTATTGTATTGTGTATTTCACTGTTGCTTGGAGTGCAGCGTTGCAGACCACATTTCCCATGTAATATGTATAATGCTCTTAGTGTGTATTTCATATTTCTCAAACGTATGCAGTTGCCTGCCCTTGCTGAACTTTTTCTGTAATCAGTAACAAGCCAATTGCTGCAAGATTAGAATATAGTAAGTACAATAAAATGATATGCTGTCCTGTATGCTGCACTGTGTACTCATAAAGTATTATTCACAATACTTATTTATTTTGTTTGCCCAACAACAGGTGTGTCGTCATATAGCAAACAGGAGTTCCCCAACCATATCACCTTTCACCTAACAGCTAGTGGCACCTGTCACTGCTTTTATATGATTTTCCTTTAATACATAGTGTACTCAAAAGGATTACTTATGAAAACCAGACCTAAGAAAGCACAAATGTTGTCTATAGCAGCCAGTCCATGTCCAGAAGTCACTTTTCAAGTGCTGGTGTTGTAAAATAGACCTAAAAGTCAGTTTTAAAGTGGATTTCCACCCAAAAGGGGAAGCTGCAATTGTTTGCACCCTCAACCCCCCCCCCCCCCCCACCACCCCACCACCACCACCACCAACACATTTGGCACTCTTTGGGGGGGGAGCGGGTACCTGATTTTGACAGGTACCTGCTCCCTCTTCTGGCTCAGTTCGTAGAACTACGGGACCAATCACAAGGTGCAGCGCAACCTGTGCATGCGCAGTAGCAAACTGGCTGTGAAGCCACAAAGCTTCACTTCCGGTTTCCCTTACTTGCAGTCCCAGGGCCGGGAACTCAGAGGCTAGTGAAGAGGTGAGGACGGCACTGGACCCCTGGACAGGTAAGTATCCTTATATTAAAAGCCAGCAACTACAGTATTTGTAGCTGCTGAATGTACTAAGAAATGGATTGTGTATATGGGCATAAAAAATGCTGCTTTTCCAGGCGTCCAGCATGTTTTTTTTAATGTCTCTAAACACAATTGAATATTAGCCTATGTGGTCATGTACATTAAGAGTTTAG